CCGCCACTTTAATAAATCTCTTGGTCCTGGCCGGGTGTGGAGTCATTACTGGCACCGAACTTCTTTCACTCCCAGCCACCGCAGCCTCGACCCGCTGGGCTCTGGTGATCCTTCTGCCTCAGCCTTCCAAGTAACTGGAATTACAGGCGTGCACTACCACGCCCGGCTAATTTTTGATTTATTGTAGAGATGAGGTCTCTCCAAGTTTCCCGGGAGGGTCTCGAACTCTCAGGTTCAGGCAATCCACTCACCTCGGCCTCCCAAAGTGCTGGGATTGCATTACAGGTTGAGCTACCAAGCCCGGCCATTCTGTATTCCTTTAATGCAACATACTATTCCCTCTGTTTTACTGTTTCCTCTTTTCATGGCTGTGAAGACTTATTCTTTTTTTTTTTGTCTATTCCAAACTTGCCTCCTCTGAGAAGTTTATCCAGACCTGACCACGTTTTACTCTAGCCTAAACATCTTCTCAAGTTGAGTAGTGCTTATCTATGGAACTGTAATCATTTGTATATGTGTTTTTCTCTCTCATTATGCCATGAATCCTTTAAAGACAGACTATCTTGTTGTTTTCTGAATCTTTACTGTCTAATAGTGCTGGTCACATGCAAAGTGCTCATAGGTGTTTGTAGAAAAAAAGGTTGATTATAAATTACCAAAACTTTTTACAAACCCTAAAACTGCAAAAGATGGTTGATTTCACATTGGTTCCTTTCAACTTCCACCATATCAACCTGATTTCAGAAGATATCCAGTTGCTGACTTAAAAAAAATAACTAAACCATTTCCTATATGGATATTTGAGAAAGAAATAGGAAATAACCTGTAAAAATAAAAGTTACATAAAAAATAATTGTGGAACAATATTAACTTTATAAAGTGAATTTGCTTTGTTAAACTGAAAAACTTTAGGAGTATAAAGAAAAAAAAAAGCCTGCTTATGAAAGGCAACAAGATACTTCAATTTCTGGAAACATCTGCAGATATGTTCAATGTAATCCTTCACAATGTCACCCATGAAAGTATATGGTCACTTATTTGCTCTTGTGTGTTGGATTCAACTCTGCATTTTATATCTCGTTTTGTCTGCTTGAATTTTATAGCACACTGTTCAATCTTTGAGAGAATGTGAGTATAACCTTCCTGTTCTTTTTTACTATGTAAAGCCTTGAGGCAGTTTTTTTAACAAAATAGTACAGTGAATTGCTACAGGTCACAGGGAAAGTAAGTTGTAACAGGAGAAGAGTTCAGGTCTCTCACTTCTCAGCAACCCCGTCTACTCTCTGAAGATTAAAATGTCTTGTCCTTAGAGCACGTATTTCATAATAGTCTGTAAAAGGGTGTAGATTTTCTCAGGTAGAGCAATCCTCCATAAAGAAATGAACCCTACATAAATAACAGATCCTTAATACAGCATATAGGAAATGAAGAGCCTTAAAAATGTTCACCCCCATTAATCTCATTCCTGAGAATCTCTCTTAAGGAAATAATCAAAGACGAGTGCGAAGATTTATATGAAAGAACTTCACATCATTATTTATCTTAGTAAAAGTGAAAAGCTCTTAAATGTTCAATAATGTAGACTGTATAAATAAGTCCTAGTACATCCTTATGATTATATATAACACAAAAATTAAGGTGTTGGAAGATTTTTGTAAAGCCATTGGAGAATGGCCATAATATATGAAGAAAGATAAAAATGAACTCATATATAAAACATGAAATTACTTTTTTAGCAAGAAGTATATTCATGCATACACCCAAACATACATATTAGAATAAAAATAAAAAATAGAATTAAGAACTTTTTTCATTTTTCTCGCTATCCTATAATGAGGATATATTGCTGTAAAATATGTAAAAGAGAGATTTTGAAAGGTAACAACTTACAGATTAAACATGATCTATTGGAATTTTACTGTAGGAAGTTACTTTTCAGGGCAGATTTGGTGCACGAGTGTGCTTTGTTTTAAATAATATCTGGCTGCATGGCATTCTAGAAAATGCAAGTAGTTCTCATTTGAGGATCATGGACTGTGCATCAGAATGACTTGGATGGAGAGAAACTTTTAAAGAACATCCCCATCTGAGACTCATCTCTGTCCTACCACATATGTACATTTGGGAATGGGAATGTGGAATTCAGCATATATATTTTTGTAAAGCTTTCTTTGGGTGATTCAGATACACATTAGTGATTGTACAATACTACTTTGGTTTGAAATAAAGAGACCAAATTTTGAATCAAGCTAAAAAAAGAAGAAATGGGGGGGAATGAGGAGGAAACATTTAACTTCTGGTAGAAAGGATGAGTTAAGTGCTCATAACTTTCTGAAGAGAAAGATAATCATGGGACAGTTGTACTTGTAGTAAATGTGTCTGTTAAAATAGATGCATGAGTAGATATAGTTGGTGTCTTATTACCGTCTTCAACTCCTGAACCAAGGGTATGCAAAAGGAAAATGAGCAGATCTAGTTTCTATTAGGATTATGACCTGCTAAATATATTTGGATCATTATAAAGACATTCATACCTAGGTTGCTAGTCTAATTTAATTAATATTTCTATCCTTCTCCAGAACAACGCATACAGATTAGAAAACTTTCATTCCCATTATCCTTTTTATTTTACATGATACTATTTTCAGTATTTTATTTTTAATCTGGTTTTTTTCCCACAATTTTTTAGTATCAATGTTCATTCAGAGTGACCCAACAGTTGACAATTTTTAAAATCACAGTGGTTTTTTTAAATCCATTTTTTGTTCATTCAGTTTTTTAAATTAAAAATTTAGTGGTTCACTCAATGAAAGTCTGAGCGGTAGATTCTCTAAGGCTTTGATTGTTTTAAAATATCTTTATTTGACCCTCACTCTGGAATATGCAAAACAAAATATGAGTTGATGTTCACGTCGAGTGTTATAGCTATAAGATGTCTTATGGAAGCCTCATGGCAACCACAAAGAAAATACTTGTATAGGATACACAAAATCAATGAAAAAGGAATCAAAGACTGTGCCTACAAAAAAAATCAATGAAACATACAGGAAGACAGCAATAGAGGATAAAGAGGGACAAGAAAGTTAGATGATAGATAGAAATCAGTTAACAGAATGTTAATAGTATGTTCTTCCTTATTAATACTTATTTTAAATGAATTAAATCCCCCAATCAAAGACATAGAGTGGCTGAATAAATAGGAAGAAATTCAATTGTATACTCCATGGAAATAATGACCAAAAGAGAGCAGGGGTAGCTGTACTTATACCAGAAAAAATAGACTTTAATTCAAAAACAGTCAAAAGAGTCAAAGAAGGACAGTATATAATGGTTAAAACGTCATTTCAGCAGGAAGATGGAAAAATTATAAATATATATGTATCAAACATCAGAGCACCCCAAAATATGAAGCAGATGTTGACAGAACTGAAGGGCAAAATAAACAGTAACACAATAGTAACAGGAAACTTCAACATCCCACTATCAATAATGAATAGAACATTAAACAATAGTTAATGATACAGAGGACTTGAACAACACTATAGAACAAATGGACCTAAAAGACATATACAGGACACTCTCCCAAAGGACAGCAGAATACACATTCTTTCCAAGCACCCACAAAAACATCCTCCAGAACAGATATATGTTAGATCACAAAACAGGTCTAAGCAATAAACTTAAAAAGATGGAAATCATACCACATATGTTTCCAACCACAATGGAATGAAGGAATGAAGGTAGAAATTAATGGCAAATGAAAACTAAAAAATTTACAAATATTTGGAAATTAAATAACACAATATTGAACAACCAATGAGATAAAGAAGAAATAAAAGGGAAAGTAGAAAATATCTTAAGATACACAAAAATTAAAACATTACATACCAAGTCTTATGAAATGAAGTGAAAACAGTATTAAGTGGGAAGTTTATAGCAATAAATTGAAAATACTCCCCCCAAAAAGAAGAAATATCTTAAATAAACAACTGAACTTTATGCCTCAAGGAAACAGAAAAAGAAAAAAAAAACTAAGTCTAAAATTAGCAGAAGGAAAGAAAGAAATACGATTAAAGCAGAAATACATAAAATAGAGAATGGAATGATAATAGGAAAAAATCAGTAATACTAAGGGTTGG